AGCTTTCCTGCTCCTGATTACTGGGTGGTGCTGCTGCTCCTGCCAGTTGCCATGTTTGCTTACAGCTCATGTGGGAAGTGGGTCTTCCCTCCTCTCCTAGGGAGTTTTCCTCCCTCCGCCACTCTCACAAGCTTTCCTGCTCCTGGTTTCTGGGCGTGTCCCTGCTCCCACCAGAGGCTCTCTGGCCTGCCCGGCTTGTTTATTTACAGTCCCAGGAAGGATTCCCTTCCCCCATTATTCTGCACTCAGTGCGCCCCACCCTCTTTCCTGCGTGTCTTATTTTGTTCTTATTGCTTATTACTCAGTTTCTCTTTTTTTCCCTGGGTGGAGGTCAGTCTGTCCAGGGGGCTATGCTGCTCTGGCCCAGGCTTGTCTGTGAGAGTACCGCAGTACCACAAAGCTCACCTGGTCTGCGTCTTCCCAAGCCATCTGGGCGCCAGCGACTGGACATAAATATTTTAACGCTAACTGCTATTAAATCCATGGAGTTCTTAATAAACAAAACTCATTAAGCCATCATCCAAATGAGGTACACATCATGAGGACTCCTTAGTCCAGAGTAATGGGGAAATGAATGTAAGTGAAAGATGTTCCATTTATACTAATATTTTTATATCAAATATAATATTGAAAAAATATGAAATTAGGCTAAAGTAACATTAAAATATCAGAGGCAACATAAAATAATATTGTTAGATTGCAATCCCTGGGAATTTTGAACTAGGGAAGCAGGACAGAATTGAAAGAATATTTCCCTAATAACACATTTTCATGAAGAAGATGAGCATCAAAAATTAAGGTGTGAAGGAGAAGATAGTAAGAGTTTCTTTCAACACCAGCACCCAAAAATATGTCAACATATAAGAGCATTGTAGACAGCATTTTTACCAGGTAAAGATCACCTTATCTACAGCTGAAGTTTAAATTTTGAAACATGCTTCCCAAAGGCCATAAGCAACAGTTAGAATCAACCTCAATTGCCAGGTAAAGCTGATATGTAACACCATATGCACTGTGTCTGTAAGTATGGAGGTCATGAGAGTCCTGAAAAGATCATTTTTTCAGGACCAAGTAGCAAGTGTGGAAAAAATGACTCTTTGTTCTGTACAGGGAAATATGTCAGAAAGATGCTTTCCATATCAGGAGGCTCTTCCCTGAGCACTGCATATGAGAGGGGTTGAAAACCTAAAATCTGTGGTCAGCAGAGGGCGCTGCTGAAGTGTTCGTGAAAGGATAGTGCTCTGGGCCAGGCCACATAGGAAAGTACTCCACTGGTTTTTTACATACTCCAACAAGCAGTGTCTTCACTGAAGTGAGACTTTCCGCACCTATGTCCCAGCAGTTACATGATCACTGACCTGACTTTCACCCTTGATTCCTAGTCCACTCTCTTTCTCTCATCTAGTGATTGTTCAGGACTGATATGTAGGCAGGCAGAGAACAGTCAAACAGAAGGAGTCAATTTACCTGAAGAACCTCAATCAGGAATACTGTGTGCTTGGGGACTAATAATAGAAAATTAAGGAAGCAGAAGGCCCACTACTCCCCCCCAAAAAACCCCAGAAATCAGTAAGCCCAATTAATGTAGGCTTAATTGTAAAGTCCTGTTTTACATTATTAATGATTAAGTTGATGTTCAAAAGACTTTTTCAATGTATCCCCACTGTCAGTAGGTACAGTGTGGGAAGTACATTGTGTAGGATGTACTATTGGGAGGGGGAAGGTTGAATGAAGGAGATTAAGGTGATGGTATGTGGTTGATGGACTTCATATACCTATATGAAATAGAACTAAGAAACCTCTTGCAATTGCTTTAAATAAGACAGGGAGGGCATTGAGGGGGAGAGACAGGAAATAAAACTCATGTACAATGTAAGTCTAATTGGAATTGCCACTATGAATCTTCCCCTGTATAATGACTATATCCTAATAAAAAACTTTAAAAAATATAAAGTTTTTCTGATGCCCTAAAATAAATTTATTTTAAACTGACAATGAATGTTTTTGAATGTAGTGAGTTGTGGTGAGCAATTGGACTAAAGCTAAAGGGTCTGGGTTCCTAAAGAAAGGCTGTAGCTGGGCATAGTGGCACATACCTGCAATCCCAACTACTAGAGATGTGGAGGCAGAAGGATCACCTGTTAACTTTAAGCTGGGCAAGGTTAAGGAGACCCTATCTCAAATATAAAATGAAAATAAAGAGCTGAGTTAAATGGCCCAAATGGTATGGCCCTTGACTAGCAAGTGTCAGCCCCTGAGTTCAAAACTGTTCCAGGAATGGGGGAGGAGTGATACAGGAGAGTAATGGAGGGAATAAATTAAAGTGTGATATACTGTAAGAAATTTTGTAGATGTCACAATGTACTCTTAGTAAACCATTAACAATTAATCCTTTTAAGGTTGAAAAAGAAAAATAAATAAGCAAACAGAAAACTAATTTTTCACTAAAAATAATTAAGTTCCAAAAATTCAAAATTACCTCAATAAGAGTATTAGTTGTCTTTGTGTCACAATAACACAAAAGCAGGAGAACCATTGGGGTGTAGCATTCCTCTTTGTGGACACATCTCCAGTAGACTAAGAACTTCTCACTAGGTTCTACAATTGAACAGACCACCGTGTCTTCCAATACCAAGTTTGTTGGGACAAAGCCTTTACATATGGACCTTTGGACAACACACAAATTACACCAAGTATAGCAGTTTGTTAGGGATTAGAATCTATACTATATTGAAAAAGATGTGGCTTGACCACTAGGGAAATTTGGACAGAAACAGCACTATTCTTTTGATCTTTTGAGGATGGTGAACATGGACTCTGAAGTAAAGGCTGGTATGAAGATGCTGAGGCAAATGTCACATTTCACAATCAAGAACAGAGTCTCAGCATGGGATTTGAAGCAGGTTGGAGAGAATGATGGAGTCTGTGGACTCACTGGAATGAGATTCATCACTAATGCATCCCAGAGTGGGCAGCATCCAGCAGCATGGTCATTGAAGGATAAAAAACACAACCCAGAGGAAGTTATTACCTGTGTCAAGTGGATCCTGGTACTTTAAGATATTCACCCATGTCCAGATTCTCAGTCTTTTCACTGGCTCCAGCTCCTCTTTTCCATGATAATGTTCCCAGAAAAATAAGTGGTCAGATTCATTGTGCGTTGGGGATTTGTGAGAATTTTGCAGAGGTTGCCCAAGGCTCTCTCAGAATCAGAATTCCCTGTTGGTTAACTATAATTCCAAGTTTATTGTTGAAGAAATATGTGACTTAAGATTTTCTTTGTCCTTTTTCAAGACAACATGTCTTAAGTTTTTAAGTATTTAAGTTTAAGTATTTGTCACTTAATTTAGTTGATTTTACAATGAATGTTGAAAACTAATATTGTTAAAGTTTCTTTCCAATTACCATTTCTATTTCTTTCTATATTGCTTTTTTGTCATTCTCCTTAGCTATTTATATTACACATACACCTATTCACATACATAGACATGACATACACAGGAATAAGCATATACAAACACAAATAATTCATGCAAATATATTGTAGCAGATACTTTTAATAATTGTCCATAATATACTTTAAAGTAAATATTTGTGAAATGACATAATGCCTTCAAATATATATCACCTTGAACTTCCTTTCTGATACACAAATTAGGAAACTGATAAATTACAGGGTGTTTGAAAATGCTTCAGGATATTGACACTGATTTGTCAGAAACACTGTTATCTTTTTTTCTGATTGTAAGACACTTGTTTTTCTTTGGTATTATAATGGATGTTGGGAGGAATCTCATAATTTCCTGGTGATCATATTAACATTCTACTGAAAATGTGTAGTTTTTTTTAAGCCCTTCCGCATGATCCATGTCTTCTTAGAGCAGAGACAGATGCCATTGGAAGCCTTGTAGTGCTGTTCTATGTGTCTACCAAGACTTGTGGTGATACTGGAGCTCATGAAGATACTTTCAAGGACTGAGTGAGTAGGAGGTTAGAGTGAGAGTTTCCAGCCTTGCTCTTTAGGGTCCAAGTAGGGTCTCTGTGGAGTAAGGGGAACCTGTTAGTCACCTCCAAATAAAATATGCATTCATTTCTTGGAGGAAAGAAAAGTTCACCAGCAGGGAACAGTTTGTATAAAGTAGATGAACAGGATAGGATAAGGATAATGTATCTTTTTTATCTACTCCAGTAGGCCTTATAGACAATGAATTGACCCTGAAGTCAATAAGGAGTATGAAGCAGCTGATTGGTGAAAGGCATCAACCCCCATATTAATGTCTATGTCCCCTTGTAGAAAGTGGTCTGCAATGTTCTACCTCTGAGTCTTCAAGACCTCTCCCCTGGGACATCAGGTCAAACACTAGTGCAGAAAGAGAGAGGAAACTGATTTGCATGAAGATCCTTCAATGTGTTTGAGCAAGCCTGAAAAGGCCTTGAGAACGTTAAACTCAAGCTGAGGAGTTTGAGAACACCTGGTACTTGGTTAAGTTTCCCACCATGGTCAGAATAATGTTTCTTCTTGCTCTCCTCACTTATGGCTCAGGTCGGTGGACTCACACTCTAGAGGAGATCACATAAAAGCAAGATGTCAGGGTGATGCTTCTCTGCATATCAATAACTGTCTCTCTTGTTTGTTTTAGGGGTGAATTCTCAGACTGTGGTGACCCAGGAGCCATCATTGTCAGTTTCTCCAGGAGGGACAGTAACACTCACCTGTGCCCTTAATTCTGGAGCAGTGTCTACAAGTAACTACCCTAGCTGGTATCAGCAGATCCCAGGCCAAGCTCCCTACAGCCTTATCTACAAACACAACAACCGGCCCTCTGGGGTCTCTGATCGCTTCTCTGGTGCCATCACAGGGAATAAAGCCTCCCTCACCATCACAGGGGCTAAGATGGAGGATGATGCTGATTATTACTGTGCACTGGATATGGGAAGTTACATTTACAGTGATCTAAAACCCATGGGGAAGTGATACAAAACTTGTTCATATTCTCAGAATGGATCAGCACAACGATGCAGAAGAGAAGGTGATGTGTGAGATGGTCAATTCCATCTAAGGGAAATGAGGCTCCGGGGCAGTGTCCAGTCCAGAATTTGTGGCCATGCAGTTCATCCTGTCTCTCCCTGTGTATATCGATCTCTCAGTATACTCCTCTCTAATTGCTCCCCACTCTGCTTATGATAATGGAATGAGTACACCTCCCTCCAAAATGAAAAACAACAGTAAGACTCAGAGATCCCCTCCTTTACCTTCAAGAATCATCTTATTCAAAACCTATTAACATAGTTGCTCATTCATTAATGTGAAACTGAAGATCCCAATTAATACCTTATTTCTGTTTGAAATAGAATTTCATTCATCGAAAAGGCTGTTCCCCTTCTCATTTGAGTCAGAAACTTGTGATTGTACACAGAATCTGTATTCACAGATTCTGAAGGAATTTTATTAACATTCATGTTTGGAGAACACTCTACTTTTAGGATCTGTATGTAAAATGCAGTCAGGCTAACATATCGAACTGATTCAAGAAGAATGATGCAATTTAAAACTTTAGAATAAAATATGGAAGGAATTTCTACAAAAAAACATTATAGCATGTTACCATAAGATCATATGAATATTTTCAGTACTAGTTAAATCTCATGAAGGACTTCCCTCTAGACACTGCTAAAAGCTATTTAGTCACTGGCTGCAGGACACACAAATGAACAGAAACACAAGGTTAGACATAGATATGAGCAGATCACTATTGACTTGAATATTGTACTGAGCAAGTGAACATTTAAACGTTTGAGGAAAATTGTTGGATTTATTCTTCTTTGCACCTAGGAAAAATATATTACACGTTGTTATGTTGAGGTCATACATCATTAGAAGTAAAGGAAATATTATATGTGGTACTTCATTTATGTGTTACATATCATTGGTATCTTTCATGTATTTTTCAAGAATTCTAGCTTTCTCTTTTGTAATTTAAATACTATTGTAATTGATACAAAAATACAACATGATTATGGGTTGAAATTACCCCAAATATCAAACAAAATCACAGACAGAGAGTGGTGTGCACAATATATTCTTGAAAGTATACACCAGATGTACAGCCCTTGTAGGTACTAGTGTGCAATCAGAACTAGTAGCTGCATAAACCAAGCCTCTGAGCACATAGTTCCTTCAGTGTCTTCAGTTGCTGGATAAATATATAGCATCAGAACAATAATATGAAATATTTTCCTTCAGTTCCTCTTTAATATCCAGTCCATATAGCATACTAGTATTTGAGATGCCTTCATATATAATCTGAATCAGATTCTCACACTATAAGAGTTCACCTGAAAAGGAACAAGTAAATACCTTGGGAGAATTTTTCTTTCTCTCTCTCTCACATATGGTAAATAAGTATTCCTATATTTATGTGTGCATATAGATATGTGTGTGGGTGTATATATATATGAATTATAAACATGCAGGAACATATATTTTTAACTTCTTAACTTTAAAGAAACTTTTTCTACAGTTTTTAACAATTATTCTACCAAAACAACTTATATGTGAGGTGAGGTTTCCATCTTGGATTAATTCTCTCTACAAAACACATTCTAAGGAGGGAGGCTCAGAGAAGCAGATAACAAGTTGTTAGATAAGAAAGAGATTTTGGAGGAAGGGGGCTACTGGTGAAGACAGACTGGAAAGGACTTGGAGTGGAAAAATCCTGCTACCACAGCTCGGTTGAGTGAGCCCTGATGTTCTGGTGCTTATCTGAGGGGTCTGCTTCCTGCAGGCAGATCAGATGCTGGGCACCAGGCAAGAGCATCATTCACCTGTTTTCTCCTTCAGGATCCCCTGGAGGGAGGCCATAGGGTAGCATTTCTTAGATCATCACCATTTGATTTAACACTGTACCACCCTGAGAATAGGGGCTGTGCCCTTCTGCCTGCTGTGTGATCCTTCACGTGGTCCAACATGTGAAGTTAAGCTGGGATGTATCAGTGCATTGGAGCTCTTGTATATTCAGGCCCGAAGCTTGGGAAATCCCTTCTGTCCTGATTTACATACTCTGAAGGCCCTCAGACATGAGATATCCTCTTAGTATATCTCCATTCCCTCTTGCTCCTGACCCATACTAAATCAGTGACCTGAGGCAACTGTTGAAATCCCTGTTGTTGTCATCTTTCAGCTGCTATGGAAAAACCACCTTAGAACATTTATTAATAGGAAAGATTTATTTTGTTTCATTGTTTCAGAGCTTCTCTCCATGGTCACTTGATCCTGTTGCCTTGGGCTCAGTGCCAAAGGTAAAAACGTGATGGCAAGCAATGCAAAAGAAACGGATTAAATAATGGCAAGCATCTAATTTCTTCTACAGGATCACACCATCAAAGACCTAATCTGCCATGTAACCCAGCTCCTAAAGTTCTTCTATGTTCCAGTAACTCACAACCTGGTGATCAAGTTGTTAGTATATGGGCCTTTAGGGAACAATTAACACAAACTTTCCCTGAGAGAATGGGGAAAAGATAACAAGTGTCCCCAAGATTAATTTCATTTCTCTCTCAAAACTTTACTTGATATCTAAATTGATATAGAATTATGCCAGAATTCAGAGAATACTTCTATTCTCTTTTCTATTTTGAAATCTAATCAGTGAGTTGGACCAATAACAGGGCCTAATAAGTAATGGGAGAATATTTTGGCCTGTCTTGGAAAAATAGAAGAAACAGAAGTTCCCCTTGCACTGAATGGGGTGACTATTCTGTCTCACCTCTGAATGTCCTGCATTTCTGTCTCCCATGGAATGTCACCATGGAAAGTGAGTTCCCAGGATTGAACTCTACTCCACAATGTGAGATTAACAGGTAATTTTAGGTGGTCAGGGGCTGTGTGGGGACATGAGATTAAGTTCATTGTGTTTGGTAACTTCCCTGCTCCGTCCCATTAGACAGCATAAAGTGGACAGTAAGGCATTCCTAATATGCCTGTGCCTCAAAAGGAAGGGGGGATGCTGCCTTTCTCAACCTCTGCATTGGTGAACATGTCTTCCTGAGCATCTCTGTGAGCCAGGAAGAGTGAGGATGATTATCATTCTCTATCATGGGGCACTTAACAACAATGCTCACATTATTTCCAAACCAGCAGGGAAGTGAGAGAAGAGCTGAATGACATGGCACCCAAGCCTTGGCTAAGTCACGTGACTAGCCTTGTTTGTTTTGTCAGAATTCAGGTTTCAGAGGCACTACAGGAAACTGCACAATAGGCCTCATCTTATCAAATCTTTACTAAAATTTCATCATTTGCAACAACACATTTTGTATTTTATCACAATGATCAGAAATTCTAGATTGTAGGATCAGCAACTGTGAAATTGGGTCCATGATGTGTCAGAAGAGAGAGCAAGAAAAAGAGCATCCATAGTGACTGCCTCAGGACAACCAGGTGTCAAGCACTGTGTCCAACCATATCAGACAGTGAACACCTACTTTGTGCCAGCCCCAGCTATCAGTCTGCAGAGTACTATCTGAACAAGAAAGAAAAGATTTTGTGCTTATGGATATGACACTTTTTTGAAGAAGAAGAAGGAAATCATGTAAATATATCTCCAGCAAAAAGATGCTATGACAGAGTAAAGAGAAAATGGCATAGGATACTCCAAAAATTGAAAAGAAAGAGTAAGAATCTGAATTTAAGCTCATGAAGAAAAGTTCAAATGCTACAGAGTAGATGAAAAGAGTAGGGGAGATGTAGGAACTAGGCTACTGGAAGAATTCAGGTTCAGCATGTTTTTGTGGAAGGAGGCACTGACACTACGTTAAAGAAGAGTTCAAGGATGTTTTAGGAAGTGGGTGTATGAGAATATATGCCCCAGAGGGAAAGAATTCACAGGCAGGTGTTGGATTGAAACCCTGTGCTGACTTAGGCATTTTCTATGTTGGACTCCTATGTTTAAACATAGCTGTGATAGAAATATCCACAACACTCTCAAAACTTGCTCAATGATGCCACAGGATTTTTCCCACCCAGTGGAAATTGGAGTATCCCCATCTCAGGTTTATTGGATATATCCATCTAAGAAATGTTAGCCCCAACATCACTCCCTAAACAAAGCACAACACCACTCATCTAGGAAAAATAATCTAAAATTTATAGTTACCATGAGATGATAAAAGCAGAAAAAGTGTTCATGAATGTCTCGTCTACTCAGAAGGATGAATGGAAGAGAAGTCTCAAGTCATTATAGCCAGGGCTCAGCTTACCACACTTTCCTGGTGTCCTTTCTTCATCTGTCTTCTCAGGTGAGGACCAAACCCAGTTACTCTGCATAAGATCCTCTGAACCTTTCACACACCCCATATTGAGCCTCTTCTCCCATCACACAAGCTGTTCCCTAGCTCACAACATGTTCTTTGCTGGGATTCTCCCCTTCATGAGTTCTGCTCACAGAGAAGTTGTCACAGTACCCTCCTCTGTGCTGGGCAGGGTGACAGTAAGCCTTACTCTAGATGCACTCTGATTCAGCCCCTAAGGGCACAAGTACATCTATTGTGAACCCTGAGCAGATTTCCCTGAATCCACCACATTGGACTCTCCTCAGCTTCCTACCTGGGGCATCTGTCATTACCCAGTACTGTATAACATGCTCAGTACTGATTAAATAATATATATCTCCTTGTTTCTCATACCCTATCAATTCTTGTAAGGCAACAACCCTAATATTCACCGGTAGCACATTATTTAATAAAGGAAAGGGAACTTGAGCAATGGAGGATCCACAAGGAAAATATGTCATGATAAAACTCCATGATTGAGAAAAAGAAATATTTGAACTACAAGGAAGTTCACACTTCAAACACAGTAGAAATTGTTGGTGCACATCTGGGTGCATTTCAGTGCAAAAGCAAGAGAAGAATGAAAGTGTATTTTTGTTTGAAAATGAGCACACAACTCTTATAAAGTAAACAAATATGAAACATAAAATAGTTTTCATTTTGATACATTATGAGGAGAATGATATAGTGGAAAATACTGGTCAAAACAC